AATAAAACAATTAAGTACCAAATTTAGCTGCATATTAAATAGATACTTATGGAGATTGAGTATTATCTAATGAGTAATTTTTCTGAGTTATAGTCACCAATGTTGGAATAAGAAATACTGGATTTCTATAACTACTAGCTGTAAGCTTGCAGTAAAATATGAAAAAAAAAAAAAGATTTTCCAGTTTATTTTATGCTGTAGAATTTTAAAATTAGGCAGACTTTCAGAATCATGTATATCTACAATGAATTTAAAAACATAAAAGCAGTAAGTAAAGGTATAAAGGACTAATTTTAAATATGGACAATTTAAGTACATTTCAATTGAAGTTGCTATTCAGGGATATATATAAACTTGCACCAAAGTAGCCAATTAACTTTATATCATGTTTTTTCTCTTGCAGGAGGAAATCTCTTCTAATCTCCATAATTCTCTTTTTTATTTGTACTCTTTCCAAATGAAAACAAACCAGACCGGCTGTGGAAGAATGGAGGAAATAACACGCTCACCTCCTCAGGCACTAAAGTGCATCTTTCTCTTAGAGCTTATTCAGGAGTCAATGAAAAGATTGCTGCTTTTGTTCTCCTGTTTATCTGCATGGCCTCCCCATTTTGGTGGTATTGAGTATACTTAGGGCATTGCTCACCTACATGAAGCCTTAAAACCTATTTTCGGAGACCCCGTCTCACTATGGAATTTTGAGGATGGCTTAGGACAGGTAGAGAAGAAAGAACTAGCTATAACCAATCAGATGAATATATGCAAAAAAACATGTAGTAATGGAGTGATTTCAACTTTAATCTGTGAGTAGTCTAGCAGAAATCAGAGTACGTGAGCAGAATGTATCTTCTGGAAATGTCATAAGGTCTGCCCTTACTTAATTTGTTAGAAAAATAGTTATATAAGTAAAAACCTGTGCATCTATGATAACTAGCATATATGATAAATTTTAAGTGAAAACACAATTAAGGTAATATATTTGGGGAAGTTAATTATGTTTTTAAATCCCTTTATAAAATATTATCTTTCCTTTGCTTTATTTTCCTCTTTCATCCTTTATAAAAAAGATATCAGTTGCCAACTATATATAAGGCATTATATAGTATTGTGATACAATAAGAAAAGATTATCTATAGATTTAACATCTAATTTCTTATAAGATAGGAAGATAATTGAACTTGATGAAAAAATCCCAAAACCATCATAATTTTAATTAGTCTTCTATGTAAATGGCATGTGTGTGTTCAAACAGAATTGAAATTTGATGATGTTATCACTAACATGAAAGCTGTTTACATCATACATCTCTCACTCTATTGTGATGACACAATGTTGAGCCAAGCATATAAACATTTGAATATTAAGAATGGATTAGGTTATGTTATTTAAAGGGTATTAAGTAGACAAGATTACAAGTTGAAAAAAGCATACTTGGATTAATTCATAAAATAAATTGACATATTTATTAATCCAAATTAGAATAATAAATATGCAGTGTCGCAAATTAATAAAAAGTTAAGCAATATAAGGTACATGTATGGTCGATGCTCCATATTACAGTTTATGTTCTTTATTCACTGGTAAATAACATTGCATTACTATTTTATATATGTAAAACATCTGAAGATAAAATATTAAAATGTATATTTGTAATGTAACATATTAGCGGATATAGTTCGAAGTTAATATAAAAGACTGCTTACTCATTTGATTAACTGGTTGTTTATACTAGTGTAGAATTGTGATCTTATTATTGAAGCATCAGTATAATTCAGAGTTAGGGAAAAAAGTGAGAACTAATTGTTTCTTAAAATAAAACTTTTCATTGTGACACATTCAATAGAGAAATCTGTAACAAATGCTGTTTATTAATGCATTACCCAATCAGATTGTCATGCAGTTTCTATTATAGCAGTGTTTTTCCCATCAAATGCTTCCAGTAAATGCAAGTTTCATCTCAACGGCATGTCAAATATACATATCAATGACTAAAATTGTAAAAGGCCAGTTCACTTTTAAATGAATTTAAGAAGACAGATAAAAATTATCCTGATTTAAAATAACTCAGCTTACCTGACATAATGGCATTAAAACATGGGAACAAAAAAACTCAAGGTGGTATATTAAGAACGTAATCTTTCTTTCTTCCAAAAATCAGAGCGATATCTGTTGCTAAAAAACATAAGCCTTATCTTTCTTTAAAGAGCACAGGAACAAAATAAATCTCATCAATCTTGAACATGTACATTAAATCCTATAAATTTTAAAATTAAGTCATCAATAAAGCCTCAG